CTGTTTTCAAAATCAGTCCTAACAATATCGATTCATTATTAGTCTTTTGTGTGCAAGAGAAAAATTTGAATTTTTGCAGTTTTATATTTTTGATTTTTTTTTCCTTACATTTAATAGAAATCTAACATATTCCTATTACAAGTACAACTCTTATATTACTTTTTCAGGTCAGTTGGAAGTAATCATGGATCGTCGACTTATGCAGGATGACAACCGTGGCCTTGGACAAGGTGTCCAAGATAACAAGATTACAGCTAATGTCTTCCGACTTCTGCTGGAAAGAAGACATGGAACAGATGTGGTAAGAATCATTGTCTGGATTTTTCTGGCTAGTTAAGACATGAATGTTTATTTCTGTTTTAGAAGCAGTGAACTTAGTAAAGAAGTTATTCCACAAGCAGTGTAATTAAGAAAACATAGCTTCCTAAAGAGTTCTGTGAAATTGCTTGTACATTCTCAACATAAGGATTGCATCTTTCATTATTCCTCACACAAATGCCTGCATTGTTTCCCTTCTCACGCATCTACTTCCCATTTTTGTCACTTGGGTAAGAACTGGTATGTGTTTGGTAAGTTTTGGAGATTATATGTTTATTGATTGCATAACTAGGAAGCCAAGTAAAACAGGTAACTTGAGTTCACACTTCAGCACATCACTGAAGTACTATTGTGAAAGTCTCTTCTTTAAGTAAGTATTGGCTTTTTTATTTTTTTCTAGGAAGCTTATAAGAGATTCCTAATTGGTGAGAGTTATGGTTCATATCAGAGTTTATTGGAAGTGGGGAAAAAAGGTGAAAAATAATTTGGGATGAATAGGTGGAACAAGAAGACCAAGCTTAGCTTTTTTTTTCTTTTTTTTTTTTAGGAAATAAGAATTAAGCAGAAATATGTAGATGCCAAACATTAAACCTTCTTATTTCATTACGATTTTGTGAAACTAGAGGCTATCTTGTTTAGATATAGCTCATCTTGTTTAGATATAGCTCATCTTGTTTAGATATAGCTCATCCTGTTTCACCCTTTTATATATTAATCTTTTGAGTTACTTGTCAGTTTTTTTCTCTGTTCTTTGCGTTTTTCTCTTTAATTTTTTCTCCTATCATTTGAAAAGGACAAAATGAGAAATACTTCTTCATACTGAGACAGTAGAATCGTGATGACAGCACCAAGCAGATTTTAAAATCACAACATGGCTAAAGATGAGCAGTTGTATACTAAGCTGCTAATGAATATGCAGATAAATTGGAATTAATTCTGTTTTATAATGGATATCATTAAGCACTGTGAGAGGATAATATCAAGCTTAAAGCTAATTTCCACTACTTAATGATTGACAGTTTTTTTCAGGTTGTACATGTCATTACGATTTTCTAGTTCTTCATCCTCTATAACGCAGGCAGCACATTAACGGCTGTTATCAGTGTGGTGTGGAAATATTTGAACCAGAAGGGAGCTAACTAAAGTCCTGGAAGCATTCTAGTTCTGACAGCAATGAGTGTTGCACAGGTTAATCTACCTTAGCAAAAAGAGACCTATAGGGAGATCTGTACTGCCACAATAAACTTTTTCCTTTTTTTTTTTTTGTACACAAGGTAGTTTGTATTGTATTAGATTAAAATGTGAAGCTGCTAAATTAGAGTCATCGGACATGGAAAGCTATGTTTACATAGCAGATAATATGGAACAACAGGAGCAGATCAAATCAGTTAGTGCCATGGCACATGCATCTACATCATAGAATCATAAAACACTTCAATAGATACTTCTAGAAGTCATCTTGTCCAGTCCCTGCTCAAAACAGAACTATTTCTGTATCAGCGTAGACTTCAAAACTATCCAAAGAACTAGTCAGTGATTCAAATTGTAATCTGATTCAAAGGTTAGAGCGTAATTTCCATAGACCTTTGGGGGAATTTTTGTTACTTTCCTACAGAAGAAAACTACCCCGTGCACACTCTGACTCCTCTGCAAACTAATGCAGTGGGTGGTTAAGTGTGGTTGACCAAAAGTGTACTTGCACAGCTGCTTCAGACCAAAATGTGCCTGTGGAAAGCAGTTTGAAGGTACCTCTACTGAAAGACAGGCAGAGTAAGCAACTCTGTTTAGGGCTACCTGGTTAGTGGAAGATGCACATTGCTTTTTGCATATATTTACCGTTTGCCTGGAATACCAATCAGACATCTCCATGAGGTAACAAAGTATTTCCCTTTTTTTTTTAAAATCAGTCAGAGAGGTGCTATTGTTTCAACTGATGCAGCGTGCACAACCCACAGGAGCCAAACTCTTAAGCACGTTGATTTTGTTGGGTTTTTGTTTGTTTTAAGGAAATATGCAATATCTTTCTGGTGTTATATCTGGAATTCCCCTCTAGAGTGTTTTAGCTTTTTGTTTGTTGAAATTTATCTAAAGGTCTGTAATATTTTCTGATTCTTGTAACTTTCAGATTTGTTAACATAAGGAAGGAATAGTACTTCCCTTTCTCTCCATTTTGTGAAATATACAAATGCATTTTTAGTGCATGGCTACTTAGAAAGTAGTTGTTATGATAGTTTAATAATAGTCCTGTCAGAAAAAATTACAGAGAAATTGTATGCAGGTTATTTATGTGACGGACAGCAATGTGTGACTCATACACTGACCTTAATTTTGTTGTCAAGACCTATTTTTTTTACTTACTTAAGGAACAGTGAAAGGAAGAAGAGAGTTTTGATCGCTTGTTATCTTTGCCAGTACAAGCGTTTCCCAAAGTGGATTCCAAAATATTTCATTCTGTGTTTTCTCAAAAACAGTTCTGATGAGTAGCTTTTCTGTTCTTTGGGAAACTTTTCCTTAGGAGGAGTGTGTATGAAGTGTAGGATATACACTTATTTACAATTAACTAAAATAAATGTGCATCACTTTAAGTTATGGCAAAATAAGCCAAAAGTTTATTTTCCTTTGCATCTCCAAAATCTTTTTTTCCTTTCTCACCCCCAACCCTGAACAGTGTGTTTTAATGGCAGAGACAAGCCATGGTGAATGTGCTGAAGTGTAAACTTCATCTGTCCAGTTGGGTAGGCAGAGTTCTTAACAATTACTGTCACATTCAAGTAACCTGTATTCTATGAAGTCTCTAATCGTAGTAATTCCTGCGTTTTGGCTGTTGAATTTTAGCTTATCTCACCAGTAGTAAGTATTCATGCTCTGTACAAACAGCTTCAGGTTGATATAACTGTTTCCACAACACACACCCTAACCTCCCACCCCAAATTTGGATAGTACAAAAGGTGTATTCACTGACAGTATTGCTCATTAAGTAAGTTACGTACATAGATAACAAGAGCTGTGCAGATACCACTTTGCTTTAGGTTACACTCACCTGATTTATTGACAACTTTGTCTCTCAGACCTCTGTTGATGTTACTACTGTTTGATACATCTCTAGATACTTTTTGTTCTCCTGCTAAATGTAACTAATTCTGCTTAAGTTCCTTTTCTCCTTGCAAGTATTGATTAGCTCTGTATATCTTTTTGACTTCTCTCCTAATATTCATTTATTTTTCATCAGATTATTCAGCAAGAATTAAAAGCATTTTAGGTTCAAATTCAAGGGATTATTATGTAGATGAAAATGACACTGAGCACAATTATCTCTACCTGTTTGTCAAAAAACCTAAATGCATCTTTGTTTTTGAACATACAGATTCTTTCTTTTACATTTGTTATAAACTTAAGTAAAAATAAGCATTGGTACATTTTTTAACTCCATACCTCAGTATGTTATATTCATATAGGAAAATGAAGTACACATAATTTATAGGAAGAAGTAATATCTTTATTTCATCAATGACATAGCTGGAGAAAAAGATGCTATTTCAGGCACACGTATTCTTCCTCAGACTTTTGTTTCATATCTTGCCTTGATTTGCTTGATTTATATAACCAGATTTATAGTCCAGTCCCAAGCAAAGAGCCAGGATTCAATAGCTCACGTAGCTGCTATGATTTGGGGGAGGCTGTTTAGAGAAACAGTGATACAGGCAGTTAATAAAATCACAAATATGTGGCAGTCAGATAATCAATTTCTCTGAAAATACATGCTTGATGATATAGCCATTTTTCTGATTATTGAGTTGTACTTGCCTCTTACATGGAGTGCATATTTATAATGCGTATGTGTATTTTGTGTTCTAGGTATACACTTTACTATGCATTGCTATACATTACTACACCCATAACAAATGTAACTGACTTGATATTTCAAAAAAAGCGGGAACTCTACTTCCATTTAGAAGCGTTTCCAAGCTCATGTTTGACAACTGTAGATAACTGCACATCCCTGGAGATGTTCAAGGTCATGTGGAATGGGGCCCTGTGCAACCTGATCCAGTGGGTGGTATCCCTGTCAATGGCAGGAGTGTTGGAACTAGAGGTTTTTTTAAGGTTCTCTCCATCCCAAGCAATTCTATGATATTTCAGTATCAATTTTAATAATGACTATTGTATTGAACTTGTCAAATATAAACAAAGACTTCAAAATTTGAGGCTTTTGAGATGATCATGGAAGAAACAAATAACATTTTCTGTGCATCCCTTTCATACCAGAACACAATGCATCCTCTTCTAGAGCCTTGCCTTGTAAATTTAGCTGTTTGGTGTTTTTATTGTTATTGATTTTATTAGTATACATACATATAGTGCTTTGTTTGAAGAGATATTCAGCTGTGTGCTAGTTCTTGACAGCCTTTCTTAAAATACTAAACTTAAATGATGATTATCTCTACGAAGTAGATGGTATTTTATTTCTTATGATGGAAGTTTGTGTCTGCAGTTCAACAACAGTGTTAACATTTATGTGCAAACACTATTTTTTTCAGGCTAACACCATCCTCATTTTTATGCCAGGGCATAACAGCTTAACAGCTTAATTGTTTCAAATACTGTTTCTTTCCTGACACTTAGAGGTGTTATAGAAGGATTCTAAATAAAGACTGATTTATCTCCAAGTTCTAGTCATCATCATACTGGCCAGAACTATAGGGAGTGAAAGTCCTCATCCTCCAACAGGGCAGCAGCCACTCGTAGCTGGCTCATTGTTAAAGAGGTAGCAGAGAGGATAGATAGCCTTTTTCTGATTTCTGGACTTACAGCTGTGCCTCATTTTTTGTACATACAGATGCAATGAGTTACATTATTTCCTTTGGGTGTTTTTATTTCTCTTCACTTGTGTGTACCCATCTGCCTACTCTGTTCAGAAGGACAATATTCTGCTTCATAGTATGCATAGTATTAAAGCTGTTTTTCCCACTAGCCCACATAATTGGACAAAGTGGAAGTGTAGGTCTTTTCAGCAGCTGCTCTGAGTTGGTGCAGTTAGAGCTCTTAAATCTAAATCTTGCTGTATCGCCTCTTCTAGAAAGACCTAGTAATTCCTTCTGAAAGCTTTGGTGGTAGGACAGAGTCCTTCATAAAGGAAGGAGAAAGTCTGTGAGTCGGTCTTCTTTTCCTTGTATTCTCAACTGAAATAACTATAGAGAGAGAATCCCCTTGCATACAGAACAAACAATTTATATTTTATATTTTCAAGTAATTTCTATTGGGGAAGCAAGAACTTCCCCATCAGCAGCAAATTTCCAATGCAAATATAGCCTTTCTGGAAAACAAAAATTAGGACATATCATGGGGTAACTTCTGTCTTGATCATCACTTTGGTGAGCTACTCCACCATTGAAGGAGAACCCCAGAAAAATTCTGATCTCTGTGTTCAACTGGGAGCATAAGGTCTTGCCAGTCAGTAGGAAACAAAATCTGGAACCATGTCCTTTCACATCTCTGGCATTGGTTATTTCTTTAGATTTTAAGTCCATCCTCCTTCCTCCTGCATCATTACTGGAAAACACAAACACTGTAAGAATAATGAGAAAAGAAGAAATCAAATTGGTTGGGAGAGTCTATAAATTTTATTTTTTTTCTTGAAAAAGGATGTCATGCTGCTTACCTGCTTTTGTGATCCCTTTCATATAGCTGTACTGATGTCCTGCATAGTTGTCAGCCTCTAAGTATGGTGGTGTGCTTATGGTCCCAGTGGCTAGTTACTTTGTCTGCTCCAGAAAATATATGTTTGTTCTCTATGGAGTGTGACTGACTATGGCATCTGACTAACGACTCAATTAAACATGAGGATCTGACAGTGATCAAAGGAGCAGCAATAAATGGAGCAACCCAAGGATTCTAACCAGGGAGGAAAGGAACACACTGAATTGGCTACACCTGAGACTGCCAAATGAGGACAATTGTTACTAGTGTGAAACCTGACAAGGTGACTCATCAGAAAACGCTTTATGAAGACTAGGGAGGTTATCTCCTAAAAGAATATGAGATACTTGTTATTGGGTTGTTCTGTGGAAAAGACATAGGAGGGGAGAGAGAAGGATTGAAGGCAAGCAAATGTGGGAACACAGAGGGAAAAGGGAAATACAAGGATCTGTGCTTGGTCACTACAGTCTATCCTGATTCTTTTATTAGCTCACCAATTAGTTTGAGCTTGTAAGGGTAATTAAATAATTTCATGTCAGATTAGGAAAGTAGAATAAGAGGTCTACTTTTTAGTTATTGAAGAGAGAGGCCATGGGATTGAGGAATCAACAGAACCGTCTGATGGTTACTGGAAAGTCTCTTATGCATGCATGAGAACTGCTGGAAAACTTCAAACTGGCGTGTAGGGGGTTTGCACCTACAAGGAGGTGAAGTCTGATATGGTGAATGGCTAAGAAGCCTAAGATCCAAGCCTGGATATCAGCCAGACTTAAAGTCCACATTGACTATTGAGGCATCAGCAGTGTACTTGTGAATCAAGAAAGTGATGGTGTCTGACTAGCGAGCTTCAGACCTTGTCAGCTGTAGGGTAAAAGCAGGACCAGATTGTTCTGCTCATGTTTCTGAGTGCTCTGTGGGTGCTGGTAAAGGCTCTGCTCTCTTTTCATTTGTGTGGCCGGTCATATATGTGGTATGTGTGTGCCTACCGAGGATACATGCTATGCCTTGCTCCTGCCTGGACTGGAACACAGGACCACAGCAGTCTGCCACTTATCAAACTGGGATCAGAGGAGAACTCTGGTCTTAAAGACCCCCAAGTTTAATTCTATCAGACTGGGGAAGAGCAACTTCCATGGGTACAAAGTTCGTTGAATTTGATTATTTGTAGACATCACAGGGTTCCTCACCTGCAGTCTTAGTACCAGCTCTGTTGGTACAGAAACTTTGTGATGATTTTAGAGTTACCGTGAACCAACTTGCAGCCTTGTGGACAGTGCCTCAATTTTTATTTCCTTTATAATCAGCCTTCAGGGACCCCTGTCACCTTGTGTGGCACAAATATGTTCCTAGTGTAATAGCTTTCAACTCAATTGATGGAAAATATTACATTCTGAGAGATAAAAACATTGTATCAATTCTCATCTGCTCAGTCCAGTCCTTTGCTGGTCAAAAAACTAAGCTATCAAAAAAAAAAAATGAAATCCACATCAAAATTCTCAAAAAAGTACTTGAAACACATCACCAAAAGAATTTATGCTTTGATATGCAAAACTGTAACATAACTGATGAATGTTTCATTGCTAACAAATATATATATATGTGTGTGTGTGTGCGTGCACTATTCAGACAGATCCAGTATTTATATTTTTCAGGATCTTTGTCCCCCAGGATTTCAGGAAATACTTTAATGCTCTACTATAGCAGAAAATAACCTGCACTAGTATTTTTGTTTATAGGCCTCATAAGATTTCAGGGTACCTGCCTGTTCAGTAGGCGCATTTGTGGCTGGTATTTCTGGTTGCAATTTATCTAGGTTTCCCTAAGAGTGTAATTCATTGTAGAAGACCTGCTTCTGCTTTTTTACAAAGCACTTGAAAATTGTTCTGCTGAGGAATCTTGTGCAGCTTCAAGTTCTTAAGTGTTCTGAATCCCCAGAGAAGATCTTCCTATTGCCTTATCTGGTTTCCAAACAATCTTGGTGTATCCCCCTACAACCACTAGCCAGTTTGGAAGCTGATAGAAGTGATGAACAGTGTTTTATTTGACCTGCAGTTACGTTGGCCAAGCATGGCACTCTTGGTCACTGAAAAAAAAAAATATTTGCATCAGAAGAAAAAAAGATTTTTCTATTGTACTCCTTGCTTCTGAAAAGAGATGAATGTTTGGAGATGCATTGTACACTGAAGGAGATCTGAATACGTTTTTCACAAAGGGTTAATACAGAGCTGTGAATAATCCAGCTGCTTTAGAAGGAGGATTGACATAAGCATTTTAACATGCAAGATTCTTTCTTTCAGTCTGCATTGGTGTCTAATTGCTATTTGTTCCACAGTGGGTTTAAACCCCATTATCTGATACCCTTCTTGCCATTTAAAAGGCATCAGTTTTTACAGGCACACTAAAATCCAGTTCCAGACAGAGACATCAAACAAAAGGGCATACCTATGCATCCATATCTGGAGGACTTTTTGGTGATCTCAGAACCTGCCAGAAACAACCATACTTTTTGCATTACAATGTACAACTTCAAATGAATTTTAAAAAAGTACATTGGGTTTTTGCTTGATGAGGTAACGCCCAGGCAGTCTTGCATGTAAAGCCTACACACAAGTTGAAACAATTTAGTGCTATATATCATGAATTTGACTAATATTGTTCCCAAATAAAATCTGAATTTCTAAACATAGATTCATAGAACCATTAAGATTGGAAAAGCCCTCCAAGATCGCCTGGTCCAATCATCCCCCTCCCACCAACGTCACCCACTAAACCTTGTCCCTAAGCACCAGGTTCAACCCTTCCTGTAACACTCGTGGGGATGGTGACTCCACCACCTACCAAGGCAACTTGTTCCAATGCCAGACTACTCTTTTTAAGAAATTTCGCCTAATTTCCAACCTTAACCTCCCCTGGCGCAACTTGAGACCTCTAGTCCTATCATGTGTGAGAAGAGGCTGACCCCCAGCTCCCCACACCTTCCTTTCAGGCAGTTGTAGAGAGCAGTGAGGTCTCCCCTGAGCCATCTCTTCTCCAGACTAAACATCTCCAGCTCCCTCAGTCCTCACAGGGCTTGTGTTCCAGGCCCTTCACCAGATTTGTAGCCCTTCTCTGGACACGCTCCAGGGTCTCGATATTTCTTGTAGTGAGGGGCCCAAAACTGAACACGGTACTTGAGTACTCCTGAAATAGAGAACCCTTTACAGAGTTAAGGATTCACGATGTTTGGTCTTGGGGAAGAATGTATGCATTTTAAAGGTAAGGCAGCTATCCTTACCTATTATGTGTTTTTGTTACATGTTTTAAGACTGCTTATTCACATAGTCAATGTTGTCTGTGATTATGTTTCACATTTATAAGCTGGCTACTGCAGTATCACCCACCCAGTTTCTTACATAGAAGCTGCATCTCAACAGACATACAGACAAATTGTCAGTCTTTGAATTGCACAGGAAGAAACAAATTCTTCTTTCTGTGTTTGTCTTTGGAGGCTGACCATATCAGTTGCTGTCAGTTGCTACATTATGATTGAGAGAGATTTAATAACACTGCCTGTGTCTATTTTGGGACTAGAAATGCTCTGAAGAGTCTTTTTACTTCACAGATTAGATTTTCCAGTCTAAAAGCATTCTTCTTCTGCCAGTGGTGGATTTTATGAATTTGTAAAAGAGAAAGTTGATTAAAAAAAAACACACAACATGAGAGTTTTCTACCAGGAATAGTCCAGATGTTTTGGTATCAGACTCTTTTGATCTTCATCCTTTGATTTAGCAGGCCCAGAACTGCATCTGTTCCCAGATTTTGTCTGAATGTACTGAGATCCAAAGTCAGCATCCACTTTTCAGCATGTTTCATGAAACTGTTTGGATGCTGGTTGTTTTGGAGTAGTAAGCAAGTTTCCTTCCAGATTTGGGCAGTTGTACTTGACAGAGAAAAATCTAGAAGAGGACTAAATAGTCAAGATTTGTGATTTGATATTCCATCTGCCCCAGTTTGCTTTCCTTATTTTTTAAGGCTTCTTGCCTGTGTTGAGAAGTTAATTGTTTCTCTGTCAGCATCAACTGAAGCCCAATTATCAACTGTATCAGCTTTACTTTATTCTCTACAGTGTCTTCCATTCTTTCTTCCATTCAATTACTAAAGGATTTCTGAAGAGTCTAATTAATGTTTTTCCCCTCTAATTAAGGACCCCACTTCCTTAGTTTAAGCTCTTAACAGAAAACCCTTTGAGTCTTTTCTTAATAAGTTCCATCTTTGTTTTATTGATAGAATAGCTCTTGTCTTCCATAAGGACACTCTTTATAGATGAGGCCATTTTTAGAACTTGTTGCTGGCTGTTACCTAAGGTTCTATTGGACTCTGTGTGTGTGTGGTTTCTTTTTCTCTTTTGTCTCTAAAAATAAAATTCAGAATTATTTGGCTTACTTCTGATGAGAAAGAAGGGTCCTTGGGATTTGTATTCATTATTACTCAGTCACTGGGGGGGCTATATTTCAGAGCAGACTGTTTCTAATTGGATAACTGTATATGCATGTGCTACAAGGTAGTTTAGAAAGGCAGTGTTTACTTTGATTAGAGCTCATTAAGCCAGCACTCAGCTATATCAGTGGCATTTGTCAGAATCTTGCCAATACATAATGTTTGTAAAGCTGCCAGTGGAGCTCCATTCACACTTTGAGTGTTAAACATAGTCATTGAAGTTGAGGAAACAATGCCACTTTTGAGAGCAGTACTTTAATTAGATGGAGACTGTGGGACTTTTACGTAGTATTAGCAGGGTACTGCTGAAAGCTACCCAGGTTGTGAATGTAGATACAGAGTAACTGTTCTTCCAAATCTGTTGTGTTTACATGAAGAACCTTATTTTCTCTGGCTTTCCTCAGGGCATTGAGTTTTGTATCAATTTATTAAGAGGACAAAGGCATACTCCGATCCTTTTATGACTGTGATGCATATAGGAGGGGAACAGGCTTTGAAGTGTTCCTTCTGGAACTTTTGTAATAGCACTGTCTTGACAATGTTCGTAAAACCCCTTTTCTTTATTTAGTCTCCTGGCAGCTTTTGATACCTGCTTTACTCTCCATTCCTATTGCTAATACAGACATAGATTCACTGAATTACCTCCCCTGGGAAGAGATGACTGCACTTGTTCTGTTGGTGCTTACTGTCATTCCAGATGTGGGAATACAAGATTCGTGATA